CATACATTATACGAAGTTATACGACTCAGCGGGAGCGCCACCGCGCTCCCAAGCGGCACACTCTCCAGTGCGCCACCGGGCCGGCCCTTTTGTTTAGTTTTTTAAAATTATCTGCTGTTTTGAATGTTTGGCATTTGAGCTCACTCCCCTCAGCATGGGCCTGGGTGACTGACTAGCTGCCCCACTCCTCTGTCATGTCTTTTCCTGAGCTCCCACCTGTTCCTTTGAAGTTGTCTGGGTAGAGATGATACCATCCAGAAGGATTTCAGGGGCACAGGCATTGGTAACCAGATTCTCTGTCCCCAGGGTCCAAAAATCTTCCATGGCAGTGTCCAGCATGATGTGGCCAGGGAAGGCCTCAGAACAGCACAGAACCTAGAGGCAGGGGCAGCCCCCGAGGAAGAACTCCCAGAAGCAGGTAAGGCCGTCAGCCCGTCCGGGAACAAGAGATCCTCCTATTTCCTCTTGAGTAGCTCAGCCGGAATCTTCCTGGCTGCACCCTGTTCTTCTTTCTGTGAATCTTTGGATCTTACATAATCTTACAGAAATCAGATATGGTGTCTTATTTGGCAAGGCTGAAGCATCCAACTAGTTAGCAGTGTGATAGGGGCCACATAAAGCAAATAAAGTGTGATCCAAGGTCTCCCCAATTCCCAGGTCATGTGCTATCAGCCACGAGGAGGAAACATCACCATCTAGATTGACAGGTGCTATCTTTGTGCCACTCTCTTGAGTCCTCTATGGGCTGACAACCAGAAAACAGAGGCAGCTTTCCCTATCCTGACTAAACGCAGAGGCCCTCCAGGGAGAGTTGAGGAGTCAAACATCCATGTAGTTGGATGGGACCCAGGATACAAACCTGAGAGGCCCAAATATAGACCTCTTGTGGGCAGGCAGCTGGTTTCTCAGGAGGTAGCATTGCCCAGGTGAGGCTAACACAGTCCAGGGTCTGGTCCTTAGCTTTTTGGTTCCAGAAATTCAATCCTGTCTGCCTCAAAGTTCATCAGATTATGGGTAGGTGTCTCACACTAACCAAATTCACAGTATACCAATGGATAAACCACAAAGCTCATTTATTTATATCCTATGAAAAAGTATCTGCCCTTATGCTGGAATCCTACACTCTCTCCCTGTAAATAAGCTTCACGACAAGCCAGATCATCATCAGAAGGTTGCTGGTGGTCATGGCACAAGAGTGAAGAGAGTTGGCTGTAGAATGTTGGTCCTGGTGTCACATCTCCACTATAGGTACAGACTTGCTGAGCAGGCAGCTAGCTGCTTGTGGTGGCTGGACAGGGCTGGGACATAAATACTCATTCTTACTCTGATTCCCAGTTTCCTAGGCCCACACTGACTGCTTGTTCCCTTCATTTCACAGAGGGAAACTTAGAGACTGTTTCTCTAAGCAGTCATAGCACAGCTAGTGCGGGGCAACTTTTTTCATGATAAGCAAGTTCCAGCCCTACCTCCTTCAGTACAGTGCTGATCACCTTAATTAAATTTTTTTCCACTGGGCCAGCCCCGTGGCTCACTTGGGAGAGTGCAGTGCTGGTAGCACCGAGGCTGCGGGTTTGTATCCTATATAGGGATGGTCGGTGCACTCACTGGCTGAGCGTGGTGCAGACGACACCGAGCCAAGGGTTGCGATCCCCTTACGGGTAAAAAAAAAAAAAAAAAAAAAATTTTTTTTTCCCACTCTTTTTTTGGTGGCTGGCTGGTATGGGAATCAATTAAATTTTGAATGCTCCCCAGACTGACTTCTGTTCTTCCTTCTAGCAGCAGTGTTTATTGTATGTTCATGACAGACTCAGAGCTAGGCTCTTAGGTGTAATTTACAGTCTGACTTACTCCTGGAGCTTTCTGATCCCATCCAGTAAGTGGAGTTTTCTAGCTGGCAGCAGTGGCTCTAGCATCAGATGGAGCCTCAATGCTCACCTTGGGCAGGTTGTTGTACCTCTTTTAAACCCTGTTCTCTCAGGTAGAGTGGGGTTTATAACAGGAACGACCATGAGATGCCCTATGAAGGGTTATTGAGGCACAAAGCAAGCACTCAGTAAGTATTAGCAGCTATTGTTAAAAATAATATCAGTAGGGATTACCGAGGTCAGCTCTGTTTCCTAGTTCTGGGACATAAGCAGCACATTGAGAACTACAGTCAGTAATAGTTACTTTCATTCTCTTCGCCCACACAGGCACTTTGGGGAAGGGGTGATGTTGTCTCCCACTGTCAGATGAGAAACCAGATTAATGAGCTGTGTGATTCTGAATACATCTAATGGCTTTTCCTAACCTTCTTTCTCCCTCTGTCCAATGAGAGGGTTGCCCTAGGGGACCTCTGAAGCCTTCCTGTTTCCTGCACTGTGCCCCTGGATGGAAGGAGAGGAATCATTGAGGCCCAGGGGATCCTCTTTCTCACGAGAATGGCCTGAGGATTATACCCTTGCCTTTTGTTGTGTGCGGGTACATGGTGAGCAGAGGGAAGATGGAAGTCAGGCCAGCCTCAGGCTCACTGGCAGAGGTACCACTGCCCAGGGGGAGTCACCCCCTGGTTATACAGCCAGGCCCAGGCCTTCCTGAAGGGCAGGAGCTTTGGACCCAAGTCACATGGAACCCTAATGCTATCACTAAAGCTGTCCCCCTCCCCATCCTTCTTCTCTGCAGATGACCTGGATGGACTCCTGAGTGAGCTCCCTGAGGACTTCTTCTGTGGTACCAGTAGTTGGGACTGCCCATGAGCAGGCAGCCTCTCGGCTTGGAGGCAAGGCTCTGGGTTTGTCTGGTCATGTTCAAGGGATAGAGGGAGGCCACCACGATTGGAGACTGGACAAAGCTCGGGGCTTCTATGGTGCTCCCCACCCTGGACACCTTCCCTGAGAACTCCCTCATTCTCAGAGTCAGCACTGCCATCACTTTGGGTCTTTGGCATCGGCATGCCAGAACTTGGCCCAATGTTGGCTCTTCAGCCTCCTGTTCTCCAAGCTCTCTGGTGCATCGTTCTTCTCTTGCTAGCAACAGAAAAGGTGTGTCACCTTCAGTGTCATTCTCCCACCTCAACTTAACTTTAGAAGATGCTGGGCCCGGTTTCCTGTCACTTTTACTCCCTATTCCCTGGACAGCTGAGGAGCCACACCACAGCAATGATGACCTGCCCTCTGGATAGGGAAGGAACACACTCAGACTTCCTTCTGCTTTTTCTCTTGAGGCTTGTAGCTGCCCAGCTCACCTGTGCCCAAGGTTCCCAGGTGTGGGGGCAGGGGTGTGGGCTGTTGTGCCTTGTTCTGAAATAAAGCAGCCCCCGCTTCACCTGCCTTCCTGTCCTTTCCACCCCTTGCTGCCTCTGTCCTGCCTGTCCTGCCAGTGGTGCTTGGCAGATGCATAGGCGGAGGCAGAGCCAAGCAACTTTTCTTTTTTCTCTTTTTATGTCTTTTTAATATACTTTTTTTTTTTTGTGACCGGTAAGGGGATCGCAACCCTTGACCTGGTGTCGCCCGCACCACGCTCAGCCAGTGAGCGCACCGGCCACTCCTATATAGGATCCGAACCCGCAGCAGAAGCGCTGCCGCGCTCCCAAGCGCTGCACTCTCCCGAGTGCGCCACGGGGCCGGCCCTATACTTTTTATTTTAGACAGATTTACAGAATTATTTCAATGATAGTACAGTGTTTCCCTGGACCCCACACCCAGTTTCCCCTACTATCAACATCTTACATTTGTATGGTACCTTTGTCACAATTAATGAACCAGTATTAATACATTATTATTAACTAAACTCTACACTTTATTCAGATTTACTCAGTTTTCCCCTAATGTCCCTCTTCTGTTTCACAATCCCATCCAGGATCCCACATTATATTTAATCATCATTTCTCTTTAGGCTCCTCTTGGCCAGGGCAGTTTCTCAGACTTTCTGTGATTTTGATGATATTGTAGGATGCCCTTCCGTTAGGATCTGCCTGTTGTTCTTCTCACAGTTAGACTGGGGTTCAGGGTTTTGGGGAGGAGGACCAGAGTAAGGTGCCGTTCTCACCACATCTTATCGAGGGTCCATGTTAGCCTTGAACACCTGGCTGGAGTAAGGTTTGTCAGATTTCTCCACTGTAAAGTTTATTTTTCTTCCCCCTTTCTGTACTGTACTCTTTGAAAGGAAGTCACTATATGCAGCCCACACTTAAGGAGTAGGGAATTAAGCACCTCCTTAAGAGTAGAATATCTACATAAATTATTTGAGATTCTTCTGCATGCGAGATTCGTCTCTTCTCCCTCATTTATTCAATCATTCATTTATATCAGCATGGACTCAGGAATTTATTTTATACTTTGGGTTATAATCCAATACTACTTTATTTATTTTGTTACCAAGCAACTCTTCGTCACTGTAGCGTCTCTGTACCATCTTTCAGACCAGAGTTGGACAAGGGGCATGGGTGGGGTGTAAAAAGTCTAATTATACCAACTCACCACCCTTGTTTCCCATTTTGGAATGAAGGGTAGAAAGGAAAACTCTCCCAACTCATGGGTGAGAGGAGGTGGGTTAAAAAGCCCAGTTTGATTGCCAGCCTCCCCTGCCTCAGCCTCCACTAAGCAGCTGGGAGACTGGGGCCTCCCATGAGCATGGGGTTGGCACTGCCCTGAGGGAGGTGTTAATCTCCCTTTTCTCAGAGAGAGGCTGATCCCCCATGCATCCCAGTCTTAAGGCTGAGGTAAACTCCATGTTCTTTGAGAACCCCATGTCCAGTTGGCTGCTGGTTGCAGTGGGGCCCTGTTCTAGAAGGCTCCTGTGCTCCTAGGCCAGGGCAAGAAGGGGCCTATTCCCAGCATCCTCGCCCCTTCACGCTCCCATTTGGACCTACAGTGCTCTTCCCCATTCTGGACACCCTTGAGCGCTGGTCCCCATTGCTTACAGTCCTGGCCAATCCCAGTTGCTTCATTTCTGGGTTTCTTGTGTGCTTCATTGCCCCACGGGCTCTGAGCTTGCAGAAGGCAGGCTGGACACCTAATTGCCTGGCACAGTTTCCTCCAGTAGAATTTCTGGGCTCCCTGTGGGCCCGTGGGCAGGTTGAAGACCTCCTTTCTCTGCCCTCAGGAAGCTAACGTTAAGTACAGGGAGATGAACACTGGTGTCTCCAGGGGACTGAGCTGTAGTCAGAGCACCTTCAGGCCTATGTGGCAAGAAGGCAGGGGACAGGCTGGGCCATGACTATTGTATGCCTCAGGGAGGAAGGGACACCCACCTGCCTTGGCCCTTCTTGGCACCACCCGACCTTGCCAGACTCCCAACCCTGGGAACCCAGCTGTGGGTGCTCAGCCAGGCCGTTGGCGGGGCAATTAAAACACCGAATGGGTTCCAACAGGGTTAATCACAGCTGCATTTATAGAGGTGCCTTTCTCTGAGGATCTCCAAACCCTTGTTGTGCATGATCTCATTCCTCCTCTGGGATCCCCCTCCCTGGAATGTGACCAAGAAGCTGGGGCCAGGCAGGGTGGGTGAGCAGGGTGAGGTCAGTGCCGGAAAAAGCCCAGGCTACTGCCACCCACTTGGGCAGGCAGATGAGTGTTTGTTCTGGCAGAGAATAGGGACCTTCATTCAATGTACTGCACATAAGCTTGCCATAGCCAAGTGTTCCTAAACACATCTAGACCGACTGTGTGCCAGGGCCTGCTCTGGAGCCCACATTCAGCACGGTGGGCCTGGCAGACAACACCTGCAGTACAGGACAGGTGCTCCCCAAAGCCCACCTGGAGTCCTGCAGGAGCATGGATTGGAGTGTGGAACTGAAGGGGTGGAGCACCTGCAGTTGCTCTAGGGACATCTCAGAGCAGAGGACCCTTGAGGTGGACTCTGAGAAATGAGTCAGAAGGGGATCCCAAGCTGAGAAAATGGCAGGGAAGGGTGAAGAGCCGTGATGCGAATACTACGGGACATGAGGCACGTGGGCCAAACTCAAGAATCAGGGCTGAGTTCCAACTAAGAGCGTAGGTGTCAGAAGTCAGAAGTTTTTAAGCAAGAGAATGAACCAATTTAGACAGATCATTGTAGCAGCAGGGGTGTGGCCAGAGGAAAGACCACCAAGTAGGAAGCTGGGTAGGTCCAGGTTTGAAGCACTGAGGGCCTGAACTTAAGATGGTGACTGAAAGTGTGAGAACGGCAGCTAGAACTCGTTTGTGTGACGGGACCCGGGGAGGAAGAAGTGAAAAATGACCGAGCAGGGGGCTGCTGGAGGGCTGCGGAGGGGAGGCAGTGCCGAGGGCGGAGGAGCCAGGAGGAGCCCGCACTGCTGGGGAGACAGACCATAGCTATGGCCTGCCGCCCGCCCGCACATGGAGCAAGCTCTGGGCTAGGAGAGCTTCGGAGGCAGCAGCTGCAGTCCCTCCTGCCCTCCCCGTCCCCAGCTTGGCAGTCACACCAGCTGGTGCGGTTTCGTGGCCTCATTCCTCCCCCTAGAGGCTCCTAGAGGCAGAGCACTTTCTCCTGAGGGTGAATGGGTTTGTGGCTTGAAGATCTCTTGGATTGAGTCCCCAGAGTTTCCAGGTCAACCCCTTGGCCCTCCTCATGCAGGCTTGTGAGCCCCCTTAGGAGCTGGGTAAAAGTTAATTAATTAATTAATTAAATGAATAAATAAATAGATAGATAGAGAAAGAAGGGAGGCTTTCACAACAGTCTTCGCCCTCAGTGGCCACAGCAACTGGAGCCAAAGCACACCCTCTACGGTGTCAGGCCCAATGGGGTCCCGGCCCTGCCTCTCACAGGCTGTGGGGCTTTGAGCCAGTAGTTTTACTTGTTAAGCCTCAAGTTCCCATCTGTAAAACAGAAATAAGACCACACATCTCAGAGGTGTTCAACTGTGATAATCAACTTGACCATATCATTCATTGTCCAAACCAAATTTATAGTTTACCTGGGAGAGCTAGGAAGGATGGTAGCCCAAGATAAGATGGATATGAAAGTGATTTAAATACCGTAAAGCTCTGTGCATATGTAACATGGATAGAAAATATATTTAAATACTGTAAAGCTCTGTGCATATGTGCAGAGTTATTGCTGTTACTGCTCATGCCAAGAAAAACTATCTACCTTCTCAGTAACACTGTCCTGACCGCCCCTCCTTTCCTGTGCTGGGGTCTGCCCTCTCCCCTCCTTGTGGGCCAACATGGGCTCCTGCCCTCCAGCCACTTCAGAGAGGCTGGAGGAGCCTGATCTTCCTCCCTGCCCATCTCCAGGATTGACTGCTTCACTTCCCTTGGACCTGGCCAACCCAAGGTGCTCGCTTCAGAGAAGTAGAGGAATGCAGACCCTGGGGCTCAGGAGTGGCCAGAGCTGAGGAATCAAAGGGTGTCAGCAGGGGCAGGGGCTGGCCCAGCACCTTCTCTGCACCAGGGTCATGACTCTGGGCAAACTGTTTACCAGAGCAGTGAGGGGCCTATTTATAGCCGCAGCTGCTCCTCCCTGGGAAGGCAGCAGGGTGGCTCCTCAGAGCAAGGGCGGTAGTTGGGCCGGGTTCCTTTGGCCCAGGTGCCACCACCCAGACCCCTGGGCCCCTCCTCATGGCAGGGGACTCCTTCCCCTTCACCTCGTCTACACTGCACTCTCTCCGCCTGCAGCGGGAGTGGCTGGAATGGGAGGACCGGCGGCGGGCTGCTGCCCGGCACTGCCGGAGCCACAGGTACTCCTCAGGTCCCCAGGCCCTACTCACTAGGCCTCGCCGCTCCTGCCGGGACCCAGCTGTCCACAATGCCCTGTTCTCCGGCGACCTGCAGCAGGTTCAAGCCCTGTTTCAAGATGAAGAGGCCGCCAACATGATTGTGGAGACTGTGAGCAACCAGCTGGCCTGGTCGGCTGAACAGGGTAGGGAGCACCAAGTGAGGGCAGGAGGGTAGGGAGAGAGAAGAGAAGTGGGCTGGGCGGGAGAGTCTAGGTCCCATCTCCTTCCTGCACACCACAGACCAGAGCATCCCTTCCCACCGCCCATCCGAGCTGCCTCCTAAACAGAGATGCGACAGTTAGTGTCTGAATGTCTTTTCTGAATTAAAAGTTATGTTCTTTTAACATAGTTTATATATAAATATTTTTAAATTTTGTTTTTAATTGACAAATAATAATTGTATATTATACTAATTATGTAGTAACAGTTATATTCTAACACAATTTTTTCTTTCTCCACATATATATTCACACATATGAATATTTTTTCTCTCGTAGAATGAAACTATATTCCACATGCAATTTTATAACCTGGTTTTTCATGTAATACCTTCCATGTCAAAAACCATGAGTCTACAAAATATTTTAAATAGGTGCATAAATTCTACTATATGGGTGTGTGCCATGATTTATATTACTAGTCCCCAAATAGATCGGGTAGATTGGGTTCCTGTTTTAAAAAAATAACAAAAACAAAAGCTATTTTAAATAGCAGTCTGAGGAACATCTTTATGTACTTGCCAGGTGATTTTCTTAGGATATATTATGGCCAGGTTTGTCCATGTAAACCAGATACCTCAGCTGAGATTGCCATGGATTTAAGATTGACCGTGGACTGGGGGCTTCAAAATCCTTGGGAGAGCTTACACTCACAGTCGCTACAGGCTTCAAATTCCTGCCTGGTTACAACAGTCAGAGATCGTGACCCCACGCAGGTCATCCTGGTCTTGTCCTGAAGCATGTCCATCATTTCGAAGATGAAATTCAGCCTTAGTTTCAATCCTAATAAAAACAAAACATGCTATACCCAAGATTTAGAAACACCAGGGATTTACTTTGCTGCCATGCAAACAACTCAATATTAGGCAGCCATGTCCTTTAAACGAGTCCCTGACCATTTCTACCATTCAAATCCAACATGAGTCACATGATCAACACCTCCCCTCATTCTTTCTTTCTCCACCCCACCTCTTATTGATTTCATTAGCAGCTCAAAGATCCTGAGGTTTCCATAACAGGATTTACCCTCCTCAGTTGGCCCTTGTGGTTGTATAGAGCAATTAATTTTTTTCTATGACAAATACTGCATTTTGTTACAGATTAACAAACTTCTAAAAGGCTGTTCCAATTTATACTCCCGACTCAGGGCTTGGGCGAACCACTTTCCACAAGTACAGCCTGGCACAGTGTTTGTGCTCAGCAAACCGTGCAGAGGGAAGGCTAGATCAGCATCCCCACTCCTTGCCCCGCCTGCCAATCTCACACGCCCCCAACTCTGCCTGCTGTTCTCAGGGTTCTGGGTGCTGACCCCCAAGACCAAGCAGACAGCACCGCTCACCATCACTGCAGCCCGAGGTTACACAGACTGCGCCCGCCACCTGATCCAGCAGGGGGCTGAATTGGACTCCAGAGTGGGGGGCAGGGCTGCCTTGCATGAGGCCTGTGCCCAAGCCCAGCCTGACTGTGTGCGGTTGCTGCTAACCTTCGGTGCCAAGGCTAATGTGCTGTCCGAGGAGGGCACAACCCCCTTGCACCTCTGCGTGGCCCCTGAGTCCTTGCAGTAGGTGTCCAAGGGCTGAGGGGATGGTTTGGGGAGGAGTGTGTCTGTGTGTGTGTGCACGCGCGCATGCATGGGCATGTGTGTGTGTTTCCAGTTCACACAGCCAAGAGAAGGGAGAACTTGACCCCCATACACAGCTTTGAAGTTTCTAAAGCATTTCACATACACACGTCTTCACAACAACCTGGAGATAGGCCTCATTCTACAGAGGAGAAAAATGAGGCTCAAATAGGTTTCGTGGGGGCTGGCCAGTTAGCTCACTCTGTAGAGCATGGTGCTGAGAACACCAAGGTCAAGGACTCGAATCTCTGCACTGGCTAGCCACTAAAAAAGAGGAAAAAAAAGGTTTAGTGACTTCTCCAAGGTCACATCTGCTAAGCCCAGGAGGCAGAAGCCTTGTTGCTTTTTGGGAAAACCCTATTCCAACTGCAGTCTCCAATTCCCTGTGAATCCTCTGTAGCCAGATTCCCAGTTGTTTTGAGGTGGGCGTCAAAAAAGACCCAGTCCCGCATTTCCCAACCTCAGTGTGAGCTCCCTGCCCCCATATCTCCTCCTCCCACTTTTCTAAGATCAGTTTCTTGGACCCCCTTCATGATGGTATTTGTACTTTTGCAAATCAGGTCAATAGACAGGGTTGGCAGGTAACAATTCAAGGGCTCCTGAAAGACACTCCACAGCCCACATGCTGGGGACCTCCGCCCACTAGAACTCGATCAGTGATGTACCCAGAAGTGATCCAAATTCACCAGCCCTTTCTTGGGTTCTTATGCCCCCTCCAACAAACTTCATCCTTTAAAGGTGAGAATAGCTACTTGGAACACTACTGAGTGAGCTTTTTTTTTAAAGATGACCGGTAAGGGGATCTTAACCCTTGACTTGGTGTTGTCAGCACCATGCACTCCCAAGTGAGCCAACCGGCCATCCCTATATAGGGATCTGAACCTGTGGCCTTGATGTTATCAGCACCACAGTCTCCCAAGTGAGCCACGGGCCGGCCCATGAGTGAGCTTTAAACTGTTACTTAAATTTAGTATTTGGAAACAAAAATTAGCCGATGATTAGAATTTCCCAAGGAAATAAATTGAGTAGTTTATGGAAGACTGATTGTTATTCAACTCTCGTCCACTGAGCAAAGCACCTACTGGACACATGAGCAGGAATTCTGGCCATTTTGGGAAAAGATACCTGGTTATCAGGGTTTCATCAGAGTTGATGGATCTGCTCCTGAGTTTCCAGCAGCTGCCATTCTGGCTTTTTAATTATAAATTACTGTTAGTTTAGTTTCATCATTATTAATTTAGCTTGTTGCCTGTTGGCTTTATCATGCAGCAGGTAATGGTGCGTAGTTGCTGCACCAGCATTCTGGCCTGTAATTTTCCCAGGAACTAGGAGACTGTGAAACATGTGCTTTCTAAAATCCATTGTTTGGTTCCTTTGGTTTTGTTTGTTTTCTCTAGGGGAAAGTGGAGTAGGGAAGTCCCCAAGTGCCTTCCTTTGCCTGGTTGAGTGTGGCTTGGTCTAGAAGAGTGATCTTCAAGTTTGGGGGCAGGAAGAAAATATTAGCACTTCTATTTATTTTTCTTTTTGGCTCATACTCTTTAATTTTCTATGCCTCATAGTGTACATAGGAGTGAGTTTTCAAGATCTGGTGCTATCAAAATGTTAGGAGATCACTGACAAATGATTCAGAACCAGGCCTTGGAGTCCAATTCTACAGGGGAGTCAGGGCAGACTCTGGGAGGGATTGTCTGACACAGTGAATACTAATTCTGGAACAACCACTAACTTGCTGTGTGTCCTTGGCTGCACAAGACCCTTCTGGGCTGAAGGTTTACATCTGAAAATTGAAGATGCTGCTGGTGGCTTCCAGCTCTGCTTTTCTTCTGGACTTGGAGGCAAGAGGGGTGGGAAGGAAGGGGTGGGGGTGACAGCAGGCTGAGGGGTTTCCAGGCCAGTCCTTGGGCCTTCAGGATTTGCCCCGGGGCCTTGTGCCCTGTCCCCAGGTGCGCCAAGTTGGTGCTGGAGGCGGGAGCGACGGTGAATCTGGCGGCGTGGGAGAGCGAGGTGACACCCCTGCATGTGGCGGCCGCACGGGGCCTGGAGGAGCACGTGGCTCTCTACCTGGAGCACGGTGCTGATGTGGGTCTGCGCACCAGCCAGGGCGAGACTGCGCTGAACGCGGCGTGTGCGGGGGCCGAGGGCCCAGGCAGCAGCCGGCGACGCGGGGCCGCGGTGCGCCGTCTTCTGGAGGCCGGCGCTGACGCCCAGGCAGCCGGGCGCAAGGGCCACACGCCTCTGCACAACGCCTGTGCCAACGGCTGCAGTGGCCTGGCCGAGCTGTTGTTGCGCCACGGGGCCCGCGCTGGAGTCCCCAACGGGGCGGGCCTCACACCCATGGACTACGCGCTGCAGGCCGTCCAGGACGTCCCCAACTGGGAGCCCGAGGTCCTCTTCGCAGCGCTGCTGGACTACGGCGCCCAGCCTGTGCGCCCAGAGGTGCGCAGGGAGGATCTGTGAAAGGAGTATCCAGTCGGGTGGGGGAGCCTCCGGCTGGAATTGTCTTGCCTCTGGGGAAGAAAGCGGTGGGTCCAAGAGAATGAATGCCCACCTTCAGTGGCCAGAGGTCTGTCCCCATCTTGGGAGGAGAGAGGATTATGGGGGAGCGTGTCCAAGGGAGGAAAGAGCCCCCAAGTAAACTGGGATCAAGAGGTTATGGTGCCCTGGAGGGTGGGGTAAACTGAGGCATGGAAGGGGATGAGGACTCAGACCTTAACTCCTCCCCACCCCCTCCCAAAATTAGGGTGTGAGTGGGGATTTGGGTTAGGCTGGACTTGGGTCTGCCCTTGGATGGAGGAGGTATGGTGCCCCTGAGACCCTCTTTTGATTCCTAGATGCTGAAACATTGTGCCAACTTCCCTCTGGCCCTGGAAGTCCTACTTAATGCTTATCCTTGTGTTCCGTCCTGTAATTCTTGGGTGGAAACAGTGCTGCCAGAGCTGTGGCAGGTATGTCCACCCAGGTTCAGAGCTCCTTTCTAGGGGGAGATGAGGAGGAAGGACACTGGCCCTGGAAGTCCTACTTAATGCTTATCCTTGTGTTCCGTCCTGTAATTCTTGGGTGGAGACAGTGCTGCCAGAGCTGTGGCAGGTATGTCCACCCAGGTTCAGAGCTCCTTTCTAGGGGGAGATGAGGAGGAAGGACAAGCCACAAGCCGACCCCTCCGGAGTGGGGGGCATGAGGGCCCCTGGGTGGATGAGAACGGGTAGAGTGAAACCCCTGGCTTCTAGGATAACCCCTCCCCCTGGTAGCATAGGCCAACTTCTGATTCCACACACCTCTCCAGCCTCTCTCTCACCTGCATCAGCACATTTATCAGACATCTCTGACTCAGTGGGCACTGTGCCTGCATCTCTGGGGTGGTAGTGGGTGCAGACATGGCTGAGACACTACCCTGAAGTGTAGTCCCAGCCCCAATAGCACTGCAGGACCTCTCTAGCTCTGAACCTGAATCCTTCCATGCACCAAACATCCAGGTGCGTGCCTTTTGCAAAACCCCAGGGCCCCCACCACTTGGTTGCCCCAGATGGAAGGGCATAGTCAAGCGTATTGGCCATCTGACCCTCTTTCACTCCTGGCCTAGGAGCATGAAGCCTTCTACAGCTCGGCCCTGTGCATGGTGAACCAGCCAAGGCGGCTGCAGCACCTGGCCCGACTGGCTGTGCGTGCTCAGTTGGGTGGCCACTGCCGGCAGGCTGCCACCCGGCTCCCACTGCCCCCGCTCCTCAGGGACTACCTGCTGCTGCATACGGAGGGGCACATCCAGTGAGCCCCATGCCAGGCTACTCCCACAGCTTGTCTTGCCCCCTTTACTTGTCCCCATTCTCAACCCTACAGGAACAGTCCCTGGCCCTCTTCTCTGCACTCTGCATGCCCTCCAGGTCTAGCTCATCCCTATGTTAGCTTTTGAGCCGCCTGCTGACCTCCAGCTGGACCTGAGCTTCAGACTGTCTGCTGAGAAGGTCTTCAGACTCAACCTGTTCAGAGTCAGGCTTTGCCCACATCCTCTTCTTGTGCTTACGTGGATGGCCCCTCTATCCACCCAGGCCCCAAGCCAGGTGCCTGTAATCCTTGTTGCTTCCCTTCCCTGCCCACCCATATACCTGTTCAGCCTTCTAAAGAGTGACAGACTCTGCCTTTATCTGCACTGCCTTGCCTGACCTTCCTTTGCCACTTCAAGGGAGGGCTTGAAACCCATGCCCTGAATGGATGATCTTTGGGAGCCATCACTCTGATCATTCCCTTCAGTGGCTCCTCTCTACTAAACTCAAAACTCAACAAAACAAAGCCTCTAGATTCTGACTTCTGCCAGGTTCCCTGGCCTCCTGACCCCTCTCTCCCTTTGGAAATGCCTGTAATCCAGCTTTAGTAAGCTAGTGACCAGTTGCTGGGTAAGATCTGTTCTCTACTTCCAGGTGTCTGCATGCGTTGTTCCCACTGCTTGGTTTACCTTTCCACATTTTTTGGCCTGGTCAAGTCTGATTTGACCTTCTAGGCTCAGTTCAAATTGCACTATCTCTGCAGAGCCTTCCTTTGACCATCCCAGCAGGTAGCACCTTCCTTGGTTTTATACGTATTTAAGTGCCTGTGTCTGCCTCAACTAGGCTGAGACCGGGACTGTATTCCTTGAATGGGCATTTCAGTAAATGATAGTTGAGGGAGGAATAAATGCATGAGACCTGGGACACATTTATGGGGTATTACCGCCACCCCTAAGTGATACATGGTGTCTTGAACAGTGGTCCACACTCATGGCCTCTGAGGGCCTGTCCTCTTGCTCACTTCTTCCTGTGGTCCCAGAGTCAGAAGTACCACAATTCATCTATAGAAGGAAGCTTTTCTAGGCAAGCCAGTTTTTATGAACACAAATAAATGATTGTGCACAGAATGAAAGCATTGATGTTGTGAGGTTTATTTATTTATTTTTATTTTATTTTTTTGTTGTTGTTGGTGGTGGTGGTGTAGGTTTAAATGGAACTGAGGTACTTATCACTCCATATTTATTTTTCCCTTTTGTGCTTTTCTTTTTTTTCTTTTTTTAAAAAGATGACTGGTAAGGGGATCTCAACCCTTGGCTTGGTGTTGTCAGCACCACACTCTCCCAAGTGAGCCACAGGCCGGCCTCTTTTTGTGCTTTTCTGCAGTTTGCAGGTTTTCCGCACTAAGCAACTGTTACACATGACGGGAAAAACATTATTAGAACACAAGACCCCTCACAGCCCCAGAACCTCCAGTACCCACCACAGGGGGGAACTGGGGAGGGGCTCTCAGCAGTCTGCTCTCCTGTCCTTTGGCTGAGGGATCCTGGGCTCCCCACTCCCATCACCAGTTGGAGTCACACAGTAGAGACAGGGATGTAGAGTCCTGGGGTCTGTCTCCTGTAGCCCTTGGCCCAACCCTCCCTCCTCGGTGGAGAGTTGTGCCTGCGGAGATTCCTTCTGACCAGCTGGTCTTTTACCCTGTTATGCAGGGCAGCAATTTCCCCTTTCTGGATGAAATTTTTGCTTTAGTTCCACAGAGTCAAAAGGCCTGAGAGAAGAAAAGGAAATCCTCCCTAGTCCTGGGCCCAAGCTGGGAGTGTCACTCTCAGGGACAATGCTGAATTTTCCACCCCTTTACAGCAAGCAGACCCCAGTCAGCTTGGCCTTTTCTGTTATATATACAACTACAATGAGATACCATCCTTAAAAAAAAAAAAGATACACATGATTATATATACATATATAATTTGGGGATAGGAAAAGATTTTTCCAGTATAAAAGCATAAAAGGGAGGGACTGGCCGATGGCTTACTCGGGAGAGTGCGGTGCTGATAACACCAAGCCAAGAGTTAAGATCCCCTTACAGGTCATCTTTAAAAAAAAAAAAAAAAAAAAAAAAAAGCATAAAAGGGGCCGGCCCGTGGCTCACTCGGGAGAGTGTGGTGCTGATAACACCAAGGCCACGGGTTCGGATCCTATACAGGGATGGCCGGTTCGCTCACTGGCTGAGCGTGGTGCTGACAACACCAAGCCAAGGGTTAAGATCCCCTTACTGGTCATCTTTTAGAAAAAAATTTTAAAAATAAAAAAAATTTTTTAAAAGCATAAAAGAAAAGATTAATCGATCAGGATACAGAAAAATCACAAACATATGTAAAAGGCAAAATATTGGAAAAATTATCTGCAGCTAAAAGAGTTCATTTCTTTGACATGAGAGGGCAGGAATGACATCTGTTTTATTCACCAGCATTTACTCAATGCCTCTACAGTGCCTCAGGGAGTAGACACTCAAATATCTGTCAAATTACTGAATGAGGATGCTCAACCTCACCAGCAGTCAGGGAAATACAAATTAAAATAAAATATTAAGACATTATTCATCCACTAGATTGGAAGAAAATTTAAAGATTGAGAATATGCAGTGTTTATAAAGATCCGGAGAAATAAATCCTTGCAAATCTTGTTGGTGGGCAAACTGCCTCTTGGGCGGGCAATTTGGCAGTATCCTTAAACATTACTCCCCCGTTACACAAAAGGTGGGTACATACAAGAATATTCATCTCAGCTATGGTTAAATACATACTGTGGAATACAACTTAGCCCTTACAAAGGGTAGTACCCATGGCAGGAAAGAACTGGAAAGGGATTCCAAGTGACCAACCAGCATGTGTACTGCCTTGGAAAGATCTCCAAGACTGTTGTTAAGGAGACAAAAACAGGTTGGAATACAATATATACAGCAAACAAAACAAAACTCCACGATGGTAGATGAATAGGAAAAAAGACATGGAAGGCTGGTGCCCAAGAATTCCCCTGAGGGGAGGGGAGAGAGACCATGTCAATGGGACATGAATAGGGTGAATATTTGAATTTTTTTTTTTTTTTTAAAGATGAACAGTAAGGGGATCTTAACCCTTGACTTGGTGTTGTCAGCACCACACTCAGCCAGTGAGCTAACTGGCCATCCCTGTATAGGATCCGAACCCGTGGCCTTGGTGTTATCAGCACCACATTCTCCCGAGTGAGCCACGGGCCGGCCATTACTCTATTAATTTTTAGTTATTATTATATTTAAAAAAGACCAGCACTGGGCCGGCCTGTGGCTCACTCGGGAGAGTGCGGTGCTGATAACACCAAGGCCCCGGGTTCGGATCCCATATAGGGATGGCCGGTTAGCTCACTGGCTGAGCGTGGTGCTGACAACACCAAGCCAAGGGTTAAGATCCCCTTACCGGTCATCTTTTAAAAAAAAAAAAAAAGACCAGCACTGGGCAGTGATATAGTCCCAAGAGCAGGCTTCTTTCCTCGCTTTTCCTCTTATAATTCCTCTGCCCTCAAAAACCCAACCCAGAAGGCCCCTCTTTCAAAACACCCTTAACTCAGCTGCATCATGTCCTTTTGCTGCACACACTCACCAAAGCTGCATCCCTTGTCAGATTCAACCTCCACTTTTTCCAACCCTTCATCCCAGCCACTGAGCATTCCAAGTCTATTTCCAGCCCTAGCCAATCCTTCCTTCTTCCCTTCCAGCCATGTCACCTCACTGCCATGGGACTTTCTAGGTGACTTCACCTCTGGCCAGCAGATGAGAGAACCCTCTCAACTCGCATGTCTCTTCTCCCAACTTCTCTGACTCCATCCGTCATTCATTTAATAAATCTTTATCAAGTACCTGTTGTATGCAGGCACTGGGATAGATTTTTGGGATACAGGAATAAAAAACAAAACAAAAACATGGTTCCTGCCCTCAGGGAATTTGGTAAGACAGAAAAATGAAAAATGACAATGTAGTATGGTAAGTGCTATGGCAGAAATCAGTCCATGCAGTGGACTAAACCCAAATGGATGGGCCAGATGTCCTACCTCCTGCCCAGAGCAAGCCCAGCCACCTGCTTGGCCCTTCCCCACCTCCAGAGGACACTACTTGGACAATTATTCTCTTCTCAGATTGCCTTTATCTTCTCTTCTCCTCTGCTCCTTTCTCTTGGCATATAAACATCTTCAGGACTCTCTCATCTCTCAAAATCTCTGATATCTATTCCTTGTTTCCCATCTAGCCTCTACCCTAAGTTTTTTGGAAAGGGAACACCATGGGAGCCACTTACACTGCTGATGGGAATGGAAACAAGTACAACCTCTCCAGAGAACAGTGTAGTGCCATATATAAAAATTTCCAGTTTTTGGTTAGAGCACAGCCTTACAACCCCAAGGTCACGGGTTCAGTTCCCCGCACCAGCCAGCCGCCAAAACCAAAAAACTTCCAGTTTTATGAAGGTATTCCAGAGAAAGAATCATGGACGTGTACAAAGATCTATCATCAAAAATGTACAAAGATATTTATCAAAACACTGTTTGAAAACAAAGTGCTAGGGCTGGCCCGTGGCTCACTTGGGAGAGCATGGTGCTGACAGCTCCAGGTCAAGGGTTAGGATCTCCTTACCCATCATCTTTAAAAAACAAAAAAGAAAACAAAGTGCTGAAAACAGTCTAAATGTCTATCCAAGCGAGATTAGTTTAAAAAATGATGGTATGGGGCTGGCCCGGTGGTGCACTCGGTAGAGTGCGGTGCTTGGGAGCGCGGCAGTGCTCCCGCCGAGGGTTCGGATCCCATATAGAGACCGTCCGCTCACTGGTTGAGCGTGGTGCGGGCGCGACACCGAGGGTTGCGATCCC